TGCTACATTTGCTACAAGTGCCTGCACTTCAGCGTCCGTCCATCTATCGCTGTTCTCCATACTTGCAAAATAAGTTGCCACAATGTTTACAGAATGTTTACACGGCATTTTAAATCATGGTGGGTGAGGGCGTTTTCGTACGCTTTTGGCCAATCAATGTCTACTTACGTCACGATTAGTACCAGTTGTGCTGGTTAGACCCTGTAGGAGCTAATTTGGTTCTCGAAAAAGGCAGTCCGGTACTAAAATCGCTCCCAGTTCCAGCGGTGCGAAAATGCCAAAAAGTGGGTAGTTCCACAATTAGTTCTGGTACTATGAAAAGTTTCCTGCGGTGCGAAAGGCCCTTATCACAGTGACAGGGCAACAGTCAACACCACAGTCCGGGTCACAGGGTAACCCACTCCACTGGCTCGTCTCTAATCATCTGTGGAGGGGGGAAAAATAATTTTGCTTCTAGTGCATGGGTGAATATTATTCATACTTCACATTATGCTGTTTTTCCAGATAGTGTAATTTACATTTGAATATAACTCAACTGCAGTAAGTTTATTCAACTATTAGATCTACAAACTAAACCTGCATTTTCTGAGGCCGTTCTGAGACCACTGAAAGCAAACCCAAAGTCCCTTTAAGGCAAGACATTTCACCCGGCTGCCATTTTTTAAATGGCTCTCGGACAGTCATGCAAGTACAGCTCCTATTTCATTTAATGGGGAAAATTCTCCAAAGTTGTTCACCAAGCTTACGTTAAATATTTGAAATCACGTTCTGGTACTATGAAAAGTTTCCTGCGGTGCAAAAGGCCCTTATCACAGTGACAGGGCAACAGTCAACACCACAGTCCGGGTCACAGGATAACCCACTCCACTGGCTCGTCTCTAATCATCTGTGGAGGGGGGAAAAATAATTTTGCTTCTAGTGCATGGGTGAATATTATTCATACTTCACATTATGCTGTTTTTCCAGATAGTGTAATTTACATTTGAATATAACTCAACTGCAGTAAGTTTATTCAACTATTAGATCTACAAACTAAACCTGCATTTTCTGAGGCCGTTCTGAGACCACTGAAAGCAAACCCAAAGTCCCTTTAAGGCAAGACATTTCACCCGGCTGCCATTTTTTAAATGGCTCTCGGACAGTCATGCAAGTACAGCTCCTATTTCATTTAATGGGGAAAATTCTCCAAAGTTGTTCACCAAGCTTACGTTAAATATTTGAAATCACAAGAATTAAAATATAAATATAAGAATCTCAAAAATTCTGTTTCTTATGCTCAAATAGCGTTAAAAAGGTGTATTTTTTTTTAATTGGAAGTGAAGCAGTCAGTCAAGTTTACATTATTTAGTAAACTGATTTCCACTTTAATTAAAAAAGATATAACAAACACGATTAATGTAACCATTTTAAAGAAAAAAGGATGTTTTGTTATAGCTTTTGGAGCAAGGACGCCGCCATCTTGCAGTACCACAGTGTGTGACGTCACGGGGTTGGTTCACTCCGTTGGCCATGCAGTGAAGTAATACAAGCATTTCTTTACTTTTTGAACAACACGTTTGTTTTGAAATTGAGGAAGACAAACTTGAAGGACTGTCAAGCCCATAATAAGTGCAATTGCTTATGCATTTGAGCCGATACAGCAAGGGGAACGAGCAGTACCACTTTTACGGATGGAAGAAGACATGAACCCGCTGGTTTGGTGTGAAGTGCGGGTCGGAAACCGTACCTGTTTACGTGGAGACTCATCAAGACAGCCATTCTGACATAATTTTGTGTGCATTTGCTCAAGAAGACATGAAAGAAAACTCAAATTGGAACTCGCATATGCTGTCCGAGCTGCAGCTTTTTGCGTGCGTTTGTGCGCACAGAAACGGTCCATCACAGCGCCCGAGTACCGCATTGAAATCTCTTTAGCACTGTCTTGCGCTTGAATGGCTTAAAACAGTTTAATGTTCAAGCTGACAGGGCTTAAAATAATGATAAACTTTAAAAGAATAATGTTAGAATGATAAACTTGAGGAAGCCGATCGTTCAGATGGGTGATTAGTTAAACACTGGAGCGTCCTGTTACCAGCAGGTAAGCATATTGTATTCGCAGGTGAACATAAAATATCTTGCATACCACTACTGGGGAACGAGCCAGTGTAATGCAAATATGTCTGAAAGGTCTGCCATATCAATAAAGATGCCCCATGAATGATATTATATGAAGCGTTGTTTGTTTACATCACGTTGAACTTCGTGTTATAAAAACAATGTTTGGGATACCACGATCAATACTTCATGGTTTAGACAGTTTAGTGTTGGATATTCATGCAATTATGGTGAAAACCAAACACGTGTGCATTAAAATAACATTTGTTATGCTGACTGTTTCTATAGCAACCAGAGCTTGAAGTGAAAGTGACGTGACGTGTGGCCAAGTATGGTGTTGTGCTCTGTATTTTTCCCATCCAAGTGCACACACACAGCAGTGAGTAGTGAACAAACACACACACACACACTCACACTCACCATGAACACACACCCGGAGCAGTGGGCAGCCATTTCTGCTGTGGTGGGGACCAATTGGGAGTTCGTTGCCTTGCTCAAGGGCACCTTGGTTGTGGGTAATGAGGGTACTGAGACTCAAACCTGTGACCTTCGGGTTACAAGTCAGACTCTCAAACCATTAGGCCACAACTGCCCCCAACTGCTTGTAACGACAGCTGCAGTGACGTGAAGACTTTAGCAATTAACGATTGACTTTTTTTATACAGAAGTATAACTATTCCGCCATTTGGCACATTGCACTTTCTCCTTTTCATAACTAAAATGAGGGCACTGTCTTTGTTTATCTAAATCTTTGGCAAACATGTGAAGTGTCCACATTTTTTGTAATGAACAAGCACTGGCCCATATTGCCGTAATGTGTAAATGTGACATTAAGACATATGCTCAGTAATATTTTTGTATAATATTTTAATATTCACTATAATAGTAATACGATCTTTGTGTAAACTGTAAAGAATTATACTGCAATAGGGTATTGTGGCAGCCCTACTGCACAGTAATGAAATGCCCTGCATTATCTTCCTCTTTTGTCATGGGCTTTTGTTAAATATTAATACATGTGATTTAGTATCATAATAATTTGTGTGAAATATTAATGGGAAATGTGATGTATTCAGTTAAGGATAGCTGAGCACTTGCTTCCCTGTGCAAGGTTACCAGGAAGCTGATTTTAATCTATTTCCATGAGTTCTGCATTTACATGTAAGTTTGAATGATGCAAATCATTGTCTGGCCTTCATCCTATTAGAAGTCCCTGCAAACCTTGGATTTGGTTAAGGACAGAGCTGCATAGGAATCCACCTGCCAGTCTCAAGGCCTCAAATGTCATTACCAAGCATGTTCTGATTATTATTTTCTAATTATAATTTTGTCTTTTATTGTAACACTTTACTGAAATTCTGACAGCTGTGCTTATAATGAATTTTATTTTATTTTTTTAACTGTTAGTCTTGAAAAGCCATACTTAGACTATTGGCATGAAGTCCAGATGGGAAGAGAACATCTGACTGACATGTAAAGTGACTGACTACAGTTAGGTTTGTTGCTGAGGGACAGACAAATCTGAAACTTATGGTAGAACCACAATAATACAGCAGAAACATCTCGTTTATAAAACACCATAGCAGCTCCATGACCAGTTCTATGGAAAATACAGAAAAAAGTGTAGTGCACCAGGCAATCACAAATATTTGAATAAAATAGGCTAATACTGGGATATTTATTTCTAATAAAAGTTTTTTTTAAGCTGTAAGAGGCCCTTGCCACATTTACAAGATTACATACTACATCAAAATGTACCACATTCTAAAATTTCAGACAATTTGCATTTTGTAAAATACTAAAATGAAATTAAAAACAGTTATGAATAGTTCTTTGGTTGCCATCAAAGATCATAATTTGTGACATTGGCAACCAGTTAATACCATAAGATCAAACTGCCCCAGTGAGAAGAATTGTAATGTAGCTGTGAGTGGTCTATAAAAGTCTTAACACCTTGTCTGTTAATCCACCTCACATCAGATCTGCTGCTGTTGTATTTGGAACATGAAGTACTTGATTTTGAAGTTGACAAGCCTCAAATCTTACAGTACGTTGCCAGTTCTATTGTGAGAAGGGACGCTATACGGGTTTGGTTACTTCAGAAGTCATTATGATTGGCTTGCTTCTGCTGTTCCCACTCTGATGACAACTGTGCTCACGATGATTTGATTTTAGGGAACTGTAATGCTGGAGGAATAGAGGGAGTGGTATAGAGCACCCCTGCTGTTCCTGCTCAGCAGGCTGTGGTGCCACTCCTGTCCATTATTCCTGTCCACCCAGTGCTCAGGTGCATTTACCAGTATAATAGAGACTGTTTTTATCTGCGTGGCTTTAAGGCAAGAAAGATTCAATGTCAACTAGTATTAAGATTCCCTCTGTCAGGAACAGTGGCTTTCAGTGGTTCCCAAAAGTGACTGAAAGCAGTAACTTGCAAACCAGTTTCTTTGGTAAAACGACTTTTTGAAATGCATCTTTTCCTTGGTGTTATGTTCCTTTTTGTTATGTACTCACTGGGTAGACCTAACACTCAAAGTAGGAATATCAAAAGTACCGTTTATTGTCTGACAGGTGGCTGCTTTCTGATTCTTGGACTTCCGTACTTGTGCACATGCTCTCTGCTTTGTGAAGAATGACTGCACGCTGCAGAAAGCTGCATGTGTGAACAATGGACTACTTGCACTGAGCCTCGTGATGCACTTCCGTTTTGAAATAATACAGCTCCGTTATTTCCGGTTATGTATATTATCAATGTTCTGTAATTATCTAGTTGACTTAAATGCCTATTACAATGAGAGTCCGTGGGATGATTTCACAATCCGGATATTTTCAAAGACAGGAGAAGAGATATTCTGATGATTACTGTGTGCAGAATTTTCCAAACTCAACGGAACTTTAAGTTTTAATCCAACATAGCCGATCTGAGGGGCCCACCACAGGGCCCTGCACAGTGCCCTAATCTAGTATTCGGACGCTGCAGTGTGTGTGAGATCTGATAAATAAGATCCGAATGAGCCTTTATTCACTATTCTGTGTCATTTTTCATTCACAATCACAATCATTTTCATTCACAGTCATTTCACTGTATGCAATGCCAAAATATAAATATTCAAAGTAGTCGCACTGTTAATGTGTTACTGTTTAAAATTAATTAAATGTTTTACATCATTACATTTCTTTAAGGCAGTTAACACGCATTAATTCAGCCATTTTAAACACTAATAAGAGCACCAACACACACATGCAATACTGCTCTTACGAAAATTAGCCGCGATTTTACCTAAAATAAAACCAAAAAAATGTATTTGTAGTTAAACCATAGTAACCACCAGTTAACCCGGATTTTTCTACAGTAACCATAGTTTAACCATGGCATTTGTAGTAAAATTGTGGTTATACAAATGGTAATACTCAAAAAAGACATTGCTACTACACTTTTACTATAGTAAAACCATGGTTAATTTTCGTAAGGGTGTTTATCAGTCAAATTAATTTAAAACTGTAAATTTAACAGGTATGAAATATGATCAGCAAGAGAAAAATACCGTTAATGAGAAGACAAGCGTTGGACTGCGGCAGGGTAGTTGGGAAATATATTTATTTATTATTTTGAATGCACATTTGGAAGGGAAATATAT